ACTTCGTTATGGCCCTTTTCTCTGACGTCTTGGACTCAAACGATTTACCAGATGTTCTTGTGGCCGTCTACCCCTTATCGGTTTCGGGCTCAAGTGACTTAACAAATGTCCTTTTTGGTCATTAACCCCCCTTTTACTCGATTGTTTAGACCCGACACTTGTTCGCGAGCACCTTGACAAAGCTCCCTCTCTCTCGGTTGACATTCTCCTTCATCGTTTATCATCGCGTCGAGTTTGTTTTCAAACACGTATATTATTTCCTTCCTGTCTGGTCTGTATCACCAACACAAGCTCTTGTTCCGATTTAACCTCCGAAATTTCCCGACTTCGGAACTTTATAATTAATCGTAATTTTGACTCGATTTTAGAGTCTTACAAAATTTTCTAAGTTCCTTATCCTAGAAACTCTCGCTAAAATCACGCGGAAAAGTATATCCGAAGAAACATCGAAAAAGGGTGTAGTTTTGGGGTGAGTGAGAGATTCTGGAATACAAAATATCCCAGAAATGGTCGACCGAAATTGGAATTATGCCAGAATCGGTCGCATTTTTGCCCCTGCTCGACGTCTTTCCGTCAAAAAGGTGACAGACTGGAATAAAACGGTTACTTTTACAAAATTATCCCAGAGTCTGTCAACCCTATACTACTCCCGTCGTTGATCGGTCGGGCTGTCGACTTTCTTTAACATAGGAAGTGTAGGAAGTTGACTATCGGTGGCCGGCTCTGCCGTGTAGCTTGCTCGGTAACCGGACGCAAAAATGAGTTCAAAATTTTGTTCGTAAACCGAATTGTTCGAAAAGCGAGGTTTGACTGTATTATTATTATTATTTTAATAAAATTGCTGTTTGGCCTAATCAGAATAAAGCTGTAATAACTTATTTTTATCGCTTATAGGAGTTTGAAGTACAATTTATAATTCTGTTGATACAAAATAATACATAATTATATCTTTATTCGAAAAGTTGATATGGATTTCTTAAATTTCATTGGTCTAATTATTATGTGGTTTTGTTTAATTTGTGTTTGGCTAACACCAAAATCATTTTATGCCGTTAGTTTCTAGCGCTTACAATCTGAACAACGATAAAGTTTAAACAAATAAAAGTCAGAGATCTGAGATTGGAAAATCCCGGATANATCCCTGACAGAAAAAAAACTAAAAACAGGTTTGAATTCAGTGCCCGAAGTACAACTAGGAACACAATGTATTTTTTCAGAAATAGAAAAAAAGTTTTTTTTGCAGAACAGTGTAATCGAAAATCCGGATAATAGAGGTCCGGATAATCGAGGTTCTACTGTAATACATAATTATATCTTTATTCGAAAATTTGATATGGATTTCTTAAATTTCATTGGTCTAATTATTATGTGGTTTTGTTTAATTTGTGTTTGGCTAACACCAAAATCATTTTATGCCGTTAGTTTCTAGCGCTTACAATCTGAACAACGATGAAGTTTAAACAAATAAAAGTCAGAGATCTGAGATTGGAAAATCCTGGATAAACCCCAATGCGGATGACCAAGGAGTAAGCTTCAAAAGGGGTGAACAAAATTGTGCCTTCCCCACACATACTAACATCCATACATACAGAAAAAACCTTGAATTTTTTTTTTTTGTTTTTTGCATTTCTCAACATTTTAATGTGCCCTTAATCCAGCGGTTCTCAACCTGTGGGTCGAAACCCCTTTGGGGATCGAACGACTTTTTCACAGGGGTCTCCTAAGACCATCGGAAAACACATACTTCCGATGGTGTTACGAACAGAGACACCGCTCCTTGGATGTGATCCGGATTTCAACGTTTGGTACTAAATGAGTCACCAGAAGTCATCGGAACTCACTGTATGATTCATCGGCAAATAGCAACGAAGACGCTGCCACAAGAAGTAATGAAAAGCATCATACGTTCTGTCAATTTTGTACAGGCGAGTACTTTAAACAGTCCACTGTTTTCGCAACTGTGCAACGAGTTGGATGCGCCGAATAATGCTCTGCTATTTCACACTGAAGTAAGATGGTTGTCGAGAGGAATAGTTTTAAAACGTGTTTTTGAGCTTCGTGATGAACTCAAAACATTTTTAAATCAGAAAGCAAGACAGAAGTTCGAAGCGCTTTTCAGCGATAAGAGTGAACTGCAGAAAACAGCTTACTTGGTTGGCATCTTTACCATCTTGAATGAGTTAAATTTACCACTGCAAGGACTAAATGCAACATGTCTCGAATTGTCTGAAAAGATCCGATCATTCCAAATGAGAAACTTCAACTTTGGGGAAAAAAAATTGGATGAAAATAAAATTTACATGTTATCTACCTTATCTGCTTTCTTTGAGGAACATGGCATTAAACCACACAAAAGGATTACGATGATAATTTCTGTGAAAGAACACTTGCACATGCTTACAGGTGAAATTTCATCGTACTTTCCAAATCTATCTGACACCTTATTTGCACTTGCCAGACGGCCATTTACGGTCAAAATTGAAGATGTTCCTGAGACAGACAAGAGGAGTTCATTGAACTTATTAACAGCGATGCTGTGAGAACTGATTTCTCTACAATGCTAGTTACAAAATTCTGGATCAAGTGTTTGCAGTCATATCCTGTTTTGTCTGAGACTGTGTTGCGCCTTCTTCTTCCATTTCCAACAATGTCTTTATGAAACAGGATTTTCCAGCTTGTTGGTTATCGAGTCTAAATACAGAAGTAGACTTGTTGTGGAAGATGATCTGCGTTGTGCTCTTGCAAAGACTGGCCCGAGAATTTCTGATCTGGTGAGAAAGAAGCAATCTCAATCTTCGCATTGGCCTTGGCTTTTACGCATACTGTCGCAAAATGTAGCAACGTACTTTACTGTTGTTATATTAAGACTATCGCCCATGCTACACCATGCTTCAAGACAAAATTTCATTTATTTGTAAATAGAAATAAATATTTCAAAATATATAATTACATATTGTTTTTGTGATTAATCACTATGCTTTAATGATGTTCAATTTGTAACAATGAAAATACATCCTGCATATCAGATATTTACATTACGATTCATAACAGTAGCAAAATTACACTTATGAAGTAGCAACGAAAATACTGTAATTTTATGGTTGGGGGTCACCATAACATGAGGAACTGTATTAAAGGGTGGCGGCATTAGGAAGGTTGAGAACCACTGCCATAATCCAATAATGGAAAAATCTTGTATGATGATCGGTCAAAAAAATTGACCGATCGCCATATTTTCCCTCTGTTACGTATAACAGCCGGAAAAGTAAAAATGGCCGAGGTGATTAAAGTAGGAGTCTGCGTTTGGGAATACTGTATTAATTCGAGTCAAAAACCTCAAGAATTTTTTATAGACGGTTTGTCCGGACATATCGGCCCCATCCTTCACAATCCGGTCGTCATCATCGTGAGCTTGGCCAAAAAAACCCACGACAGGCCTCGATAAAAGGCTCTATAGTATTCTTACTAATACCCATAGGACGGCCGGATAGCCGAGCGTTACGGTGGCAGCCGAGCGTTTACGATGGCAGCCTACTGTTCTGAGAGACCCAGGATCGAATCCAGGTCGTGGTTTAAAAATCCCCAGGAATTTTTTGGGGGTGCTCCGATCGAATAAGTTGGCCCTCATCCCTCACCCCCTGGCCGCCCCATTGTGGACCTGGCCGAACCCATAATGGGCTTGCTTAATTAAAGAGTCCCTCTTAGTGCCCACAGGGCGGAAAGAGTTTAAAAAATATCCATAGACCATAAAGAGTTTTTAAAAAATGTATTCAATATGCGCTTTTTATCAGTTTAGACTATCTATGACTCATCTATAATGTAACAACAGTTTACGATCTCTTTTCAATTTCTCCAATATAGTTTTTTTGACAAAATGAGGAATTTTCATATTATTAATTTCAATTTGTTAGAACTATAAGTTGTATAAGTATTTATTATAAGTATTTTTTTATTTTAAAAATAAAATAAAAATACTTAAAATAAAAAAAATACTTATAATAAATACTTATACAAGCCATTATATTAGAAATTTTAAATTTATTTATTATTCTGTTCTTAAAATACTTTTAGATGCACAATGATTTTATTCGAACACGGAGAATTATTAGTCAAATTACGTTTCATTAGAGTATTAATATATTAATATTGACTGGCAGCACTGAATTTTGGACTGAGATGGGGTATTTTTAGAGCGAAGTTTAAGGGAATTCTCGAGGCGAGGAAGGTATGACTCACTTTTAATTTTGTTTCTGTCGTATTGTCTGTAGATAGAATTTAAAAAGTAGTAAATATGCCACATCGTTACAAATGAAAACATTTTATTAAGAACGGGCAAGACGAATATTATAAGGAAAATGAACTCTATCCGCTTAATGATTTGGCACTCATGCATGGGGGTACGTAAGTTTGAAAGGTTCGTCTACATTGTAGACGAACCTTTCAAACTTCAACCTTTCAAGAAAGTTATTGTGTGTGGCAAGAAACAGACCTTGTAGACTCTACAAGGTCTGTTTCTTGTCACACACAATAACAGAAATTATTCAGTGGGCGATGACAATGGTCTTAAAAACTCAACGCATTTGTGAAAATGGTCGTCTGGATGTGAATGCAAGAGAGAAATAAAGCATACTGCTCAGTTTGGCATTGTACTGTAGGGCTTGTAAAAAATTTCTATTGCAAAGATTCATTTTTCACCAATAGTCGTTTGCCAGTATTTGGTTGGCATATCCATAGGCCTTTGAACTTGACGAGCGGGACTTCCTTGTGAGAGAGCTTCGAATTGATTCTTCTCATACAATTAAAGAGTGGAAACAATTCTGTGGAAATGTGTTACAAATGGTTTGTACCAAATCATATTGTCGTCAGAGAGCCCGGTTATGTGGTTGAGGATGACGAAAGTCGTTTTGTTCATTGAAAGTATAATCTTGTTAGAGAACAGTGGGTTTTCGGAGGGTATGAAAGAAAGCTTCGTGATCTCGGTCAATCGATGAGATTCTACAACTTTGTTGCCTATCTTATAGCAGTTCATTTTATCTGACACGACTGAAGTTTGATCTGTGGGCTGTATATGACACGGTTGGAAATGTAGGGTACCAACAGCTTACTGTTAACCATTCAGTTGACCTTGTTGACCCTGTTGCCTATGAGACTGTGGATTGTATCAAATGTATTTGTCAAAAGTTTGGAGAAAAATAAACTTCATTCACTCTTCCTGTCATCTTGCAGAATTTTTATGGCTTTGATGGTTTAAAAGAAACGCATCTCAAAGTTTTGTTTCTCGGGTGTGTCGAGTTTTATCCTGACACAACAAATTAGTTTACTCTATTATTTGTTTCATTTTTGTCTCATATTGAAAATGATATGGTGTTTTGAAATATGAATTTCAATCATATTTCAAAATATTTTATGTAATTCCTGAACTCTAATTTGTACAGTATTTGTTAATCATTATGTAATATCTTTCTTTTTTTTGTTTTAATGTTTGTGTGTATGTAAAACATGTTTGGTTTTTATATGATGTAAGGAATTTTATTTTTAACTTGTATTTGTTTTTTATTTTTGTTTTTACTTGTACATTGTTGTCGGGATATTTATTAAATTTGGGGTGGAAAGCTACCAAATGGCATTTTTTAACTGAAATAAATAAATATTGTGTTTTGTTGTTCAATCATTTGAATTGTACTTTTTTCAATAATTAAGACTATACAAAACAAAGTTTTCTTAAATACTTAAATGATTAAAGACACTTGTTTATCACAATAATTGATAATGTATTTAAATGCATATATCTTAGTGAATTCACAAAAAATATTTATCTACCTTATAAAATTGTATTATTTATTATCTATTAAACAAACACAATTTACTGATGCACTTGTACTGACACTCAATATTTACATATGGATCAAGCTTAAAGTTCTAAACTTCATTTAATCTATTTTTCATTCATTACTTTGAGGTAGATCTTTTACTATTCATCAATGTTCTAATATAACTTATTTCAATTGGCGTTTTTGTAATATTCAGTGATTGATGTAAACGGATATTTTTATTATTTTCAGACTAAATATATTTTAATTGTAACATACAGTTCAAGAAAACATATTAGCAATAACTGTAATGTAAGGCAAAAAAAACTAAGGAATAGGATTAGGAGTTACAAATCTTTTTCATATGTCAACAACTCTTTTTTGAGAAAAATTTTCTCTATTGACCACCTTTATTATACATAGAAGGGAGGAATGATGGAAATTTTTTTAAAAATATTTGTATAACTTCCTTCTCTAAGAATAACTTTTTTAGTACTCACCTAACTGAAACAAACCTTAGTGTGCCCTTCATTTGTTTATTGCACAAAAACATTTTGAAACAAAATTTAAAAAAAAATAAATATATATATATATAAATGGTTTGCTGTATATTAGTTAATATGACGATTTTAGTCTCTGTAATCCAAAATTATTCTTGGTAGACAAATCTCACAGCAATCTTATTGGCAAATTAAATTTATTTTGTAAAGACTACATCATGTAGTCATCATGTAGTCTTTATCTACATTTGATGTAGTCTTTACAAAATAAATTTAATTTGCCAATAAGATTGCTGTGAGATTTGTCTACCAAGAATAATTTTGGATTACAGAGACTAAAATCGTCATATTAAATCAAAATTTTAAAATAGAAAATAAATTATAAAGCAATTTATAATTGAATTTTGTAACTTGTATTGTGTGAGAGCCCTGACGAAAAATTTTAGTTCAAAATTTTTTGAAAAAAGAGAAATCAAGGAGGATGATTAAAACTTTTCCCACGGACTTGTTTCCTTGTTCTTGTTCCTGACGATTGAAATTCAACAATTGGACTGTTGTATGATGATTCCTAGTGAAGTCATGAGGAAAAAACCACAAGAGACCCCTGAATACAAAAAAGGAAGGAGTTTGCCATTATAGAGTGTTCGCTTTTAGCTGGTGTTCACGCTGTTCCAGTTCAGATACTGCTTAAGCCATCACGATCCTCTACCCTTCTCAAGACATCCAAAGACTTTTATCCTTCTTGAGTCATCAAAGCTTCTACCGAACCACCTGGCAGACCAACAGCATATCAATCTGCTGATTCTATGATTCCCTGAGGAACCAACTTCTTATACTACATTTGCACACAATCTATGTCTCACTTTGATCTTGATTTATCTACAATCTGGATTGTAACTGTCGCCAGACGAACATCAAGCTGTTTGCACAGGCAGTCCACTTGAGAAGAACCTGGCTGTTACATGCGATGATAAGATTGACATAACTACACGGTTAGTCACGAACACCAACAAACGAAATGGAAGTTTTGGTTAGAAATAAATACTTTTTCTTGCCATATATCTAATAATAGACAGATGTCATTGTCTCTCCAGCTGTCTTTTTTATTTCTCTGTTGATTGCCCGACACATGTTCCGCAGCCATCTTGTATTTTCTCGTGTGCATGGGAATGTGGGATCTCTCTTATGACTGGATCTAGTTTCAAGAACTCTCTTGAGTCAATCACGATTGAACCTCGTTTCAGTTGAGATTGAAATGGTCAAGAGAGGTTGCACCATGCCATGGTCACCGACCTTGGCCACAATCTTGATTAAAATACTCAGTGGAAACAGGATATAATGCATTTACCAATGCATGACCACTCATGAACTCTCTCTCTCTCTCTCTGACCAGGACCTGTGATATTAATGATGAAGGATAATTTCCTATAATTGGTATTTAGAATTAGCACTAGCTAAGTGTCTTAACCCATTACTGTATCTCTTTGCTATATAAATAAATGGGTATTGTGAATTGTTAAATTCATAGTATCATACACTTCTTCCAGTTGTCTGTCAGGCCATCTCCATCCTGAATCTGAGTGCCTAGAAATGTGACTGATCGCATGCAAAAATGAAATTTTCACTCATCAAGGTTTCTGTGTCTGTCCTTAAAGACACAGTGGTGTCACTCCTGACAAACTAGTCATCACAAACACGGTATCGACTCTTCGGTCCCATGGTGCCAAAGCATAGGGGGCACTCCAGCATTGTCACAATTGTGTGTACTTATAGTGTATTGTATAGTGTTGCTCATTTTGTCCCCCTTTTGCCCTTTCAAATTTTTATCAACCCTGTTGGGAGCTGTTGGATCTATTATCATTTGTAGTATAAAACAGATGTTAAAAACATAATCAAGAGGGGCTGGAGATTTTGCTCAGAGTCCAGTGAAATACAACTGATATATTTGATATAAGTTGTACTTCTGTTATTTGTTTCAACCATTAAAGTATGAATCACAATTTATCATTTTAACTTTTTTTTAAAGCAATTTACAGTGGTACCTCAGGATACGAACATCCCAGCATTTTTTCAGGATATGACATGAAATTACAACATATTTTTGCTCCACGATACGAACAAAAACTCACCATATGACATTACATTAGTTTGCAGCACCATTTTGTATTCACTTCTGTTCATTGGTCTCAGTCTGCGTGTTTGCTTCTTTTTGGAAGGATCTTGCTCGATAAAAGAAATCTTGAGGAAATCAATAAAATCTTTTCAATAAAATCAGAAAGGACTGATTTTATTGAAAAGAAACATCCCGAAAAGGTTCACACTGGCCATATTGTTGGTCAGAGTAATGACATTTGCCTAAGTCATTTTAGAAACATTTTAAAAAGTAGGCAAAACCAAACCTCTTTGGATAGATATTTTACCAAGCGACCTCTATTCAGTGAAAGTGCTGGTGGAAGTGAAGGAAAGAAAGCAAAAAGCAGTGAATAAAAATTTTTAAAAAATATATAAAACAACAATAATTTTTTTATCTTTTTTAAGTTATTTTTAAGTTATTGTTACATTATGTTATATAAGTTAAGTTTTAGTATCATTTTCCTTCTCCCTCTCTTCCGCCACCAGTTTACACCTCCACCGTCGTCTATCCTCAAAGGTAAAGTGCAAATAAAACTACATTTTTTTTAATCAATTATTATTCTATTATGGTTATTTATACATTTACAACTACAAAATGCATTTTTCAGTGTTTTCCTTACTATAGTTTTTTTTTTTAATGTACTACTTAGCTTTAATTTGAATGTGTTTTTTGTGTTGGAACAAATTATTTGGTTTTACATGTAATCGTATGGGGAAAAATGGTTCACCTTACAACATTTTCATGATACGATCTCAGTTTCGGAACGGATTAATTTCGTATCCTGAGGTACCACTGTATAATTTGCTTATTTTTATTTTGTTGTATTAATAGACAATCTATTATTGAATTTATTTGTAGAATATGATCAATTCTTTTACAATAAAGTTTGTAAATTGTCTCTAGTCTGCTAATATGACAGCCTTTAAATTTATTGAGTTTACCATTTGCATAAACAAATAAGAGGCTTGTATTAGATTTCAACTGAATGAATTATTACAATGCAATAATGAACACTAGTAATTAAATGTTGCAAATGTTATTTAGTTGTTGAAAGATTTTTGCAATAAATGACTATAATGTTTACTAAAGTAATATATTATTGTGATTTAATTGTTTATCTTAAATGATCTATGGATGACTTTTTCCTATTGGAGATGAGTCTGAATGATTTTCAGATGAAGAGGGTGAAAGTCTTCAACATTGAACAAATGTTTTTATACAATATTAACTTAGTGTTAAAAAAAATACAATGTTAATATATTATATAGTATAAAATACTGTTTTAATGTTTGATATACAGTAGAAGATTGTTAATCCCACATTTATAGGACCTAGTGATGCTGGATTATTAGACATTTTTATTTTTTCAAACTAGAATAAGTTATATACAGTCAGACTGAACGCACAGACATTGCCATACATTTTGTGACAGTGCACATTGCTGTAAGCTTATGATTTGTTTATCCCTGCTCTTGATACAGTGCATGATTATACTGTGTTAAGATTGACCAAAAAACATTAATGAACATGTCATTGCATAAAAGCAACATTCATAATGATTTAATTGCATATAACAATCATTTTTCAAACATGTACTATTTACATAATAATCACATTTTGGATGTGAGGAGGATTAAAAAGTAGGATATAAATGGCTAATGTAAAACCTGTAGTGTGCGATTGTTAAAAATATTTGGAAGTCAAGATGGAAGAAATAATTGAAAGATAGGAAACAGAAAGGCAGTTTAAGAAGCTTGATAGAATCTAGTGGTGTACTGAGTCTCAAAAAGAAATTAAAATATGTATAATAGGTGCACGAAAATCATTATGCAGAATATTATGCATGGAAAAAATTAAAGAAATGATTAATATAGAAGAATTTATTATTGATGAAGTGAAATGAAGATAATTGATATGGTCATATGAGAAGAATTACAAAATGCAAGTTGTAAAGGATAGCTGTGGAATCGAAATTACAAAAATTAAGAGAGAAGGGTAAGAGGAAGACCTGAGAAAAAAGTATTGAAAAATGGTGGAGAAAGATTAAGGAAGGAATATATAAGAACAGAATAGTGAAAAAACTGTTTTGTAACAGATCTCTTAGGATCTGTTACAAAACAGTAGGATTTTTTCTGGGTATGGCATGGAAATTGAAGTGGATTGTTGGATCTAAAACCTCTGAGCTAGAGAGAGATTGATGAAATATTTGTAAAATTGTTGGGCTGCAATTTGAAAAAATTGTAGACCTATAAATTCCCACTGTCTGTCCTTCCTTAATCTCAAAAATGGAATTAGATAGATAAAAGCCGAGACCAGATATGGAAAGCTTGGGCTTGAGACCAGATTAACTGATTTGCCTGAATGGAGTTAGATGATCTGCATGACTCCATTGCTAACAGGAAAAGTATGATGTACAAGGGCAATACAGTACTAATTTGAGGTAAAGAGCATATATTTTAAATTAAATAAATTAAAAATATTAAAAATTGCAGCCTAGCATTGTGACAGTCACAAAAATATTTGCTCATTCTGATTGTGTTATAAGTTCAGACAAAGTGAAAGAACATCATTATAGTATTGTTAAACTTTTACAACTAAGAAGAGACATCATATTTTAAATTCTGTTTCTCTTACTGTTCAGTTTCTGTTACAAAGTATTTGTAATAATTCTGAATTTGTTTTCTTCACTTTATTAGTAAAAGTTTCTGGGAAAACACTGATATACATATACTTATTTCAGATATTCTGAATTAATTATGATTTTTAAATTGAAATGAAAGTATGATTATCTCTAGTCTGAATAAAATCAATAATTTAATCAAAAAGTAGCAGATTTCAAAATATCTGACAAAATTAGGTTTATATATAAATTAATGAGTTCATAACTAAAAATTCATGGTCATAAAAAAAATCATTTAAGACTGAATAGATGGAATACTAAAATAATAATTGGCAAAATTTAGTATTCAATTGTTTTAGCTAAACAGATCAAATACTGAATAGCAACTGAATTTTTATCTTTATTAATTATATTAATGTTCATTGTGTTTCTAGATATCTTCAGCATCCTTGCAAAATATTCTGATGTAATAGGGTAGGATTGAAGACAAAATTATAGTTTTACTTAATGTGACTTTCTTATTTTAATCAAAATTATTATATTCAGAAGTTTTTTCATGACGACTAGAACTAACTGAAAATTTTCTTGGGACAAACAAGAAAACAAATTTAGAATTATTGAAAATAATAATTTTAATATAATTGTATTCTCTTCTATAAATAGTTACACAACATATCAAAAAACCAGTAGTCATAAATTCTTTACTTAAATGTTTTTCATCCATATACAACAGATATTCTCAGGTTTCGTTATAAGAATATAGAAATATAACATTAAGATGAAAGTTGGAACAATGTTTAAATTTAAAAAATAAATTAGAAGCACAATCACATATGCTTGACCATTAGAATATTACAGTTGCTGCTGGTTAGGATTTTCAAATAATGCTTTCCATGTGGAAGAGACAGAGTCCTTTTAGTCATTTAGACAGTCCTCTAATAGTCATGTGCATATGTTATTGCACTTCAAATTGATTTTTTAAATTAAAACATTTGTTTCAGCTTTCATCTTAATGTTCTATTTCTGTATTTTTATAATCTAACCTGATGATTTCAATTGTATTTGGATGAAAACATTTAAGTAAAAGTACCATTAAAGGATGACAGATTTGACAAGGATTTAATTTACATAGGAACCACAAATAATTCTCAAAAGCAGGGTTAAAGAACACAGATGTCATATTGAGAGAGAGAAACGAACAACATATATGCCTCAGAACCAGGAATTGAAGCTAAATTAGAGCAAGCAGCATTGATTGAAAAGTGTTTTAGTAGAGAAGAAATCAAATTTTTAGAGATGTTTAAAACAGCCTTGAAGAGAGTGCATTGATATATGATATGCAGATTCGTTACTGTGTGCTTGGAAAGCTTTTTATGATAACTCTGTTATCATAAAAAGCTTTATAATAACTCAGTTAAACTATGGGGTATTAATACAAAATTATATATAATACGTTAGTTGTAAAGTTTAATTTTGTAAATTTAAAATTCATAAATTTCAAAAATAATTGGAATTTGAATTCAGTTTGAATGTGGAATACTATAGAACAAACATTGTAATTGGAACACGTGTAACTGACTTAAAGCAGGGCAGTGAAGCTATTAAGAAACAGTTGTCATTTTTAAATAGTGCTGGAATAAAACAATGGCAGCTGATGTTATTAATATTTAATTAAGTAAAAGTTTGATTTTGCTTTTTTTTTTTTATGTTGCATAACTCTACTTATAATTTTAACCAATATTTTTGCATCTGACTTTGTGTTATATTCTCTTTTTTATGGCTAATTGTGTACTTATAAGCTTTTTTAAATTGCTTTTTATATATAAATATTAATAGAATTTTGTTATTTTTTTTATAAAGTGATATGAAGAAACTGAAAGCTTGAAACTCTAAAGATGAAGATTGGTAAGAGTTATTTATGTTAGCTACAAATGATGTTATAATAACTAAATAATTTAATATATTAGATACAATGTTTGTATATTGCTAGCTCTACACCAGTGTTTCTCAACCTCTAACGAATTATTGCTCCCTTCAACATAGTATCCCCCCCTTCAATAAAACTGTTACGTAGTATTGCCCCCTTCACTTCAAAACTCCGATGCCAAGGGCCAAGGCTAATGCCAAATTCCTACTGCATTGAATAGACTAGTGACTAGTATAATGTTATTTGTTTAATTATTGTACGGTATAAAGAATAAAATGTCTAATTATTCTTAATATATTGTTTTACTATATCACCCAGAAAATTTTTAGCCCCCCAAAATATAAATTGTTACTAATTGCCCCCTCAACATGGAAAAACGCCCACATGGGGCAATATTGCACCATTGAGAAACACTGCTCTACACAAACCACTTTTTATTTTGATGGCAACTATATTTGAATTGAGTTTTCTTAGAACATGTTAAATTTTAAAGGTTAAATGATTAGCTAATCATTAAATTTATAACTTTATCAATTCACTTATATTCAAGAAAATAAATTACTTCTCTGCTACAGCCTATTTTGAAATTGATATATTTCATTTATTCTCTCATCTGATTAACATAGTCTTATTAAAAAATTTAAGCAAATTTATTTTTTTTTGCTCAAGTGATTTTCAGATTAATTTGGTTATATTTTTTGAAGTTGTTATTCTTCAGTCAGTCTTCAGCTTCATGTTAACTGTTAAAATTTAAAGGATTGTTCTAAGAAAAAGTGAATTTAATTGTAGAAGATTCCACTTGTGAAAATTGCATTATTTTTGTTTTTTGTCATTTTCATTGATAAATTGGTAATTTTTTATAAAAATGTAATGATGAGCAAAAGCAATTCTTACTTATCATTAAGTAAACATAATACACTGCTGGTCAAGTAAAATTAACACCTGCAATATCTAGAGGCCTACATGATGTTTGCATTTTACTTGGCCAGCAATATATACAGTATTACATTTTGCAGTTTAGTTTAGTTAATTTTAAGCTGGGCCATAGCATCAGTAGTACTTGATTTTCTTGAATTGAAATTCAAAAAGTATAATAAAATTATATCTTGAATATGACGATGACAAAATTTACTTGATAATGTTATCAATGGTGTATGACATTTTCCATTTCAAGTTAAATATACCAATTTCTCTATGAGGTGCATGCTCATGTTTTAAAGATTAACCAAACTGGATGTAGTTGGGATTATATTGCTGTAATAGCAAGAACTTATAAGTTTATATTTCAGATTCAGGATAACAGGATAAATATGTTAAGAGATGGTAATCTATGAAAATGTGATGATAAAAACTTTAATATGATTAATATGAACTTTAATAAATAGTCAATAAGTTGCCAAGTGTTGATATATGTCACCTTAGTGTGTCTGCAAAGAAAAAAACTTTAATAGTTGAATAAAGTAACATAAGTAAAATTTAATTACTTCATATTTCCTCCCATTGTTTTTGATGGGGCTCATTAAGTTTTCATTAAAAATTTTTGGAATGTTTTTTTATTGAAGAATTGACAGGTTTGAATTATATGCCCATAAAAAATGACACATTAAAATTTATAATGTATTGTATAATCTATTCATTTTATTGTATATTAGGGAATAAAATTTTGATTTAAAGCAGTACTTTTNTTGTTTTTTGTCATTTTCATTGATAAATTGGTAATTTTTTATAAAAATGTAATGATGAGCAAAAGCAATTCTTACTTATCATTAAGTAAACATAATACACTGCTGGTCAAGTAAAATTAACACCTGCAATATCTAGAGGCCTACATGATGTTTGCATTTTAGTTGGCCAGCAATATATACAGTATTACATTTTGCAGTTTAGTTTAGTTAATTTTAAGCTGGGCCATAGCATCAGTAGTACTTGATTTTCTTGAATTGAAATTCAAAAAGTATAATAAAATTATATCTTGAATATGACGATGACAAAATTTACTTGATAATGTTATCAATGGTGTATGACATTTTCCATTTCAAGTTAAATATACCAATTTCTCTATGAGGTGCATGCTCATGTTTTAAAGATTAACCAAACTGGATGTAGTTGGGATTATATTGCTGTAATAGCAAGAACTTATAAGTTTATATTTCAGATTCAGGATAACAGGATAAATATGTTAAGAGATGGTAATCTATGAAAATGTGATGATAAAAACTTTAATATGATTAATATGAACTTTAATAAATAGTCAATAAGTTGCCAAGTGTTGATATATGTCACCTTAGTGTGTCTGCAAAGAAAAAAACTTTAATAGTTGAATAAAGTAACATAAGTAAAATTTAATTACTTCATATTTCCTCCCATTGTTTTTGATGGGGCTCATTAAGTTTTCATTAAAAATTTTTGGAATGTTTTTTTATTGAAGAATTGACAGGTTTGAATTATATGCCCATAAAAAATGACACATTAAAATTTATAATGTATTGTATAATCTATTCATTTTATTGTATATTAGGGAATAAAATTTTGATTTAAAGCAGTACTTTTCAAACTTGGTGTTCACAGACCAGTTTCTTTTTACTTGTATTTCTCATAGACCAGTATCTTTGTGAAATTAAATTTAAAAAAAAATTATGAAATGGAGAAAACTAAGTTCAAATGAAATTTTTTTTCTTTTTAAGTTTTAGACTGAATTAGTAAGAAAAATATAACAACAATATTTGGTTTTAATCATTTTGAATAATCTCAAAGATCATATAAGTACTGTACTTCACTCTTTCTCAGAATAAGAATGGAGCCAATGTTAGTCTACATAAGCAAAGAAAAATAGTTTTATGTTTATTACAAAATAGAATATATATTTTAAAATTGTAAGATATGTTTAAACTGTTTGATAATCTACTTGAAATTTTCAAACTTTTCAAGAAATTTGAGGTTATATAAAAAAAAATGTCACATAACATCATATGATATGTTTGAATTTCCATTTTTATTTTACTACTGCTACGGTAATTTCATTGCTTGACTACACTAGTAGTGTGATACTGATACACATTCAGCACATCAGCTCCATTCTTATTTTAGAAATACACTGTGTTACAGGTTTTTTCTTTAAATACATTAGAAATATACAGAGTGTAGACACAAACATTGAACCAGATGTATCTCACTTTTACTACATAATAACTACTTGAATGCAATTGCACATATTACTGTAATTTGAAATTTTCTTTCTGCTTTTTGTATCAAACTATTTTATTCATTGATTATTGATGTTTATGAATAAACAAAAATTAACTTGAGGGATATTGCAGTAATTTTCTACATTTGTGAAATGATAGTCTTCAGAAGTGAGCAATGATCTGTAAATAAATCTAATTTTGATTTAACTTTTTTGATTAAAAATTTATATAAATTAAATACAAATATATATTATATAAAAATGTGGATCTTTTATGATTTATTTTATTCTAATCAAATATATTTTTCTGTATTTTTAGAATCTGTAGATATAGATCTTTCTTCCAAATCTATTAACATAGATATAAAGAAAAAGCCAAAAGATAAAAATGGATGGTTACGTGCTACTTTAGATGATATTTCAAAAGCATCAACTGCAAAACAGTTAACTGTTGGAGGATTATCTGGATGGTATATATTAAATTACTATAATATTCTTAAATATCTACTTGCAGTGAAATTCATGTATACTGTTTAAAAAGTTTTAATATTCAAAATAAAATATATACATATATATTTTTATTTATTGGATGCTCATGGCTTCCATCTCCCGCATTGATTAGTGAGCAGCTCACAAGTTTAGCCAGCATATTAACAATATCACTAATTCATATTTCACCTCTATGCCCTTATTTTCTACATTTTGTTAAATGTTTGTCTACGAGGACTAAGCTTATTAATAGGATGTATTGCACTGGTGTTTTTGGTTCTTGCAACAGAGGGGGGGAACTTATTCAGAGGAACAAACAATCTTTATTTTCACCTTGTATTATATCTGTACACGCTTTCTTTGTGTTTCAGACCTTCAGGTCCCTCCTCAGCAAGTTTACAAAAGCATGGTGAATTACTTCATTGTTAATTACTTCAATAGGTAAATAAATACAGATGAATTCCTATCACAATATTACAAAACAATTTCTCCATTTTAATTTCCTCAATATGTAAATAAATACACCAAAATATCTTTATCATGATACTACAATACAGAGCTATGCTTGCAGCAGCAAACGATAAAACGATAATTTTTTATTGTTTTAGGACACTGCTCTTTTCCTGATCAAATTTTGTTGAGAGGAGCTTACATCATCATTTTTGGTTTCTAACAACTACTGTGAGAACTGAAGATGTGCAGAGGAGTCCAGATTATGCTGTCAATCCTTCCTTTGGAGTTTGTTGTTATTCAGATATTGTCGGTCTTCTTTCAGGGCGAGAAAGACTGTGCCAAGACATTTAGTGCCTTTTGTGAGAAAAGACAGCATCCTTCAAGTCTAGTGAACAAACCTTGAAAGAACTTAACATTTTAACTATATTTAACCTATATATATTTATCCCTTTCTTCTTAGACGATAAGATTCAGAGCCTGTCTACATGCCATATATGAGGACATGATCAAGAGAACTGGTGGGCAGGGTCCTTTGGACTCCAGTCCCAATGATGAATAGGATCCTACAGTAACATCCTCCAGAGATTCACAGTTATTGTTGGAAGGAGGCTGTCCCCCAAGAAACTGTCAGGAGAGCCATCAGGAAATTGGCTGCTCTGAAAGGTTTCAGATGAGTGGATATGATCTTTTCTGTGGGACATCCAATCCCAGAAGATCTGGTGGAGGTAGGGACTGCTAGTAACCTCACAGCTTCCCAAGGAAACACCAGTTTCAGCTGATTTGGGCCTATAGAGAACTGGGATCAATGGGAGAGTACCATCTTGCCTCAATCATCCAAGATTTGGGAGGATGGGAAGGAGCTAGATCAATTTTTTCTTCAAACATAGGACTTAGGCCAGAGAACAGAAGGAGATGTGGTGGGGGTCTGGACCATTCACCAGAAGGTCCACGCAGACCTGCCATGGCATGTCTTTCTGCCCCAGATAAGCTGCTGTTGCAGCTAAATTGCAAAAAGAGGAGAGTAAGAAGATTAAAAACATGGAAAAAATTTTTGTAAATTTATTTGTATGTATATCATCATTTCTTTTTATAGAGATATAAAAAATCTTGTTTATGTTTTGTGCGTACTTGCTGAATGACTTATCTGACATTCATGAATATAAAAAATAATATAACAGGAAAGAAGGAAAAGATGGAGAATGGGTGTAAAGAATCTCCCTTTTCTGCTTGACATCAGTTAACATGGTGTGGCTGTAGAGGGCTAACCTGCATCAACCATTAGGTTCCAAAAAGGTGCTAATGCACATATCACCAGTATCTAGGTTAAAGGTACCACTAAATTTGCCAGTTACATTTAGTAACTCACAGGTTATCATTGGTATCAATGCTTGATCACTTATCAAGAGCAGATTCAGCTAAACAATTATTAGATAAAAAAATTTTATGTTGGTGCTAATGCTAATGCAAGTGAACTGGTACCGTAGAACTCCAGGGCATACAACCATAGCTCTGATGCTGAGGAGTATTCCAAATATTATTATGGTAGAGCTACCAACTTTAATGCACACATGCTAGATGTATAACTCTTCTTACTTTGACAGTCAGATTAGCTATTGAAAGAATGATTGAAGATTTAATCAAAGTGGAACTATTGAATGAATGGTAGATGATTTAATCAAAACATGAATTAACCTGATGATCATGGTGAACTACTTTTCATTAGGTTGCAGCTGTAAACAATATAGATGCAGTATATCAATATTATTGACATAATGCAAATAGATCCACGAAATAACAAAGAAGAAACAGTTGTTTTTAGCAGATATAGAAAGTACTTCCTTAAGTGTGGAAAGCACGTGACCTTCCAAAAAGTAGGTCAAGAGTAACCTCCCTTACAAACTGGAAGTAGTGTGTAAAAGTCTGGCAGTTGTGTTCAATTTAAACAGGTGAATCAGCTAATGCATTGCACTGCTGTTTGTGTTATAAAATAAGATTTCAAGTATTTTGGAAGGAAATGTGAATAAATACAACCATAAACGTTGTTTTGTTATTAGTAGTAGTATTATGGGACAAATGGAATGAAACTTATAAAATAAATATATGATGCTCAATCTGCGAATCATTTTTACATAGTGTAATTTTCCTTTTCATATATTATCAATCAAAATCAAGTGTGATCAATATAATTGCAGCAGCTCACGTTGTTAGATATAGCTGATTTGGATAAATACAAATTTATAGTTATGAACATGTATTAGAAAACACAAAACATCGTTTTGTAATTTAAAATTACTGTAATTCTTTAGGTTAAGAATAATCTGTTTTATATATTATCTCCTGTAACGCATCTCACTAACATAACACAACTATAAAAACATGATTTCCTCTTTGTTGTGTGGAATCTTCTTTATCTGGGTGAGTGTCAAGCAGACTGGCAACTTTGGAGCTACTAGTTAAAATGACACTTCCCTAATAAGTACCATTTTTAAAGAGGGGTGTCCTATGCAGTCTATACCTTACCCACTGATGCATATGAACTAACTAACCATCAAACTAGTACCAATATATCCCTCATGCAAAGTCAACAGAAACGAAGGAATTCGATGTTATAAAACTTATTTGTCATATTTCCTGTGTCACTATTTACACAAGAAAAAGGAAGTGACATTGATGTAAAACACTGTTAGCAAATAGCTGATCAAAATTGAAAATATAAATACTTCCTTGGAGGAAGGTGTATCTAGGGACCTTGTGGACACTGCCCGATCATCTCTAAAAGGGAAGAGAAATGCTATTTTCTGTAATTTTTCAGCAATCATTTGAGGAAGCATAAATAAACCTTTAACGGAGAGCAGGTCTGCATCAGGTTGAAAAGGAATGGCCATCACTTCTGTCAGCTGAATTTACAGCCCCTAGCAACAGGTCGGGAATTAGTCAGGATGAGAGAAGCAATGGATTGTGACAAATTTGAACTTGGAATTTGGGGACAAATTGCATAAAATCCCATTTTTCTCAAGGACATGGGGGTCCTTATTCTGATGAACAAAACCAGAAGGAATCCAACTTCTTTTTCTTACTAAAGGATCATAAGCATGGTCTTACCCTGCAAGAAGACCAACAGCATCTGAAGAATAATCATCTCTGAGGGAAAGACTGGTGGAGTAAAGCTGTCAGTCTTTCCTTCTGCTTGTCTTTAGTCCTCGCTGTAATGGACCGGACTTGGAGTTCAGACTTTATTTCCTTGCACCCTCAAATCACCTCAAAGTGATCGATGATTGTAAGTATACTTAGTTACCACAAATATGACTTTGTTTGTTAAATTGGTTAACTCTGTGTCTGCAACCACTATCCCCATGCAGTCCATCCTATCATGTCAGACATGCAGGAATAGCAAGCAACCCTATCTTTGACTGTAAGATAGGGGGAGTCTATACTGTGCAAAGGTGTCTGTAGATCACACTGTTGAGGAAATCTTACATTTGTATAATAAATTTAATACATTACTTGTGTATTTATTAAAATTTAATATTTCATTCCCTTTGAGTTTTTTTATATATACATATGTGAGAATATGGTTTAGGGTTAGGCCCTCTAGTCATCGAGTTGGTAAAACCCACTCATGAGGTCACTGGATCGCTTTAAATAGGAAGGCTAGTTGTTGAGTGGGGAGTGTGGTGGTAAGTCGATAGGGTGAATCGGTTCTGAGCAATAACTGATATCAACACCAGTTAAACAAAACAACAAATTTAACATAGAACACAAAGAGGTTAAATACATATGGAGAGGTTATGTGCTATAACTACTTAACAACTAACAAACCAAGACAGTTTACATATATCTCTAATTATTGTTCTAAGTTCAATATCTCAGGAAATCACTCAACAGTTCTGGATCCTATTTATACAATGTTGGCGAGACAGTTGTGGATCATGGAGGTTGCTTTTGAGAGCAATGGGAGATGGGAACCTGGAGACAGCGAAATGAGTTGGGTGATGGACAGAAGCTTGTTCTCTTGCTTCTGGGAGAGTGTCCGCCCAGTTGATTGGGTGCAACCCCTTTTTATGTGTGTTGCACATGGGAATTGACTCAGGTGACTTGTGATTTAATGCATTCCAAGTTCAAGTTGGGTCCTGGTTCAACAGATACGAGCTGTCAAGAATCGGATGATCTGTAAGAATTATTACTATTTTCTAGCCATTTTGATGACTCCTCTTACCTCGTAATTCCATCCGTTTGACAGTTTCCCATCATTAATTAATTAATAATCAACTGTCTTGACTAGGATTGTAACATAAGTCCAAACATCCTAGTGACTGTTGACTTAGACTGATATTTGATTGGTTTTTATCTATCAGAAAATTGCGAGAAAAAGAATATGTGGGTTTTTCCACCTCGTCCTCTTTTCACTGCTTGACTTTTCAGACACCCTTTTCCTGAATAGAATATTAGAATATTACTTTAAATATTCAATTAACATTGATCAAAACAACAATGGAAATGAAAAAGGGGTCGAAATCTCACACATATAATAAAACTCAAAGGCAAAAGGAAGAAATACACACATATATTATTATTATTATTATTATTATATATATGTGTTTCCTCAGTCTTAACATTATCATAATTTATGACATGATTCTGTCAGTTGAACATTTTTGACTTTCAAAATGATAATGAATGTGAAACTGATCACTCCCTGTTTCAATTAATAATTCAGTTATTAGAAACACGGTTGCAGCAAGAAATTAATGTATTATTCCATGTTCAGAAATACAATTGTGAACCAGAGGGGAGGTCAGAAGTCGCCTGCCTCTGTCACTAGTCAGGATGATACATCAGGCAAGTGGAGGGAGTGTTGCTTGGGGTCGACGATAAGGTGAAGGGCGTGATCGAGGAAAGGAGTCTACCATATTTCAACAATATAACAACTATTTATTTAAAAGAAGCAAGATGGACAAAAACTACACAAATAGCATTTCTATACCGCTTATTTTCCCGAGAGAGAGTTTCCCGCTTTTCATACCTCTTTTAATGTTCCTTTTCTGACTAAATCCATGGTGGCACTTAATTGTCCAAAGGGAAGTGGGTTTTATCCAATCGAGCACAATTATACAAAGTTTGCGACTTTGGCGATGATCGTTTATCGTCGGTCGTAGATCAGAATTCAGCGGGTTTGGAGAATCGGTGCGATGTCGTCGGTCCAGCGTTCAGTAATAGACTCCCCCGAGAGGGGGTAAGAACTGTCTTTTGTAGGTTTTTGTGGGGAATTTCCACCACGTGATTGGATGTTCATGAATTAAAGGTTATAGGTGTTCCAGGGACTTAAAACAAATGACGAAAGTTGGATGTTAACTATAAACTTTTCTGCAAGATGATCCGTAAGTTCTGCAGAAAACAATAGATGTTGATAGTTATGACAGGAATGTTTACACAGTCTCGCTAAGATCGGTTTTTTCTCCAATTCTTTACTTAAACGAAAGTAAAGTAATTAAAATTTTAGTTAATAAAAGAACATCATTATTGTTACAAAAATTCCAGATCTCACAAATAATAATGTATACTTTATTAAATCCTATGTTAAGATAAGTACAGTATTATGAATAAAGCATTTCTCTCATCCTTACAAACCCTTTTGTTGTCAGTTGTTGCCCAGCAATGATGCCTTTCTCAATGAGCACCTGAAATACTATGAGGGCTGTTTGAGTATTGTGAGAAAGGAAATCTTCTCCGTTAATTTAAAAAACATTTTGGGCCGATTGCAGAGACAGAGTTTACTTTAAATGACAATTAACAACTGAATGATGTCTAGACATTGGCTGCCTGAACCACAGTTTAAAATGTGTTGCAAAGACAGCGATTATCTATTTCTGAACACTGTCTAAACAAACCTTGACAAAATATCAGCTATTACTTTCTTTGCCATTACTCCCCTCTTTTAGAAGTTGTTCAGCCAATTGGGTTATTCATTTGTAATGTTTGAAAAACTCCAATAAGGTGTCCCGAATGCCAGCTATCTTAAATTTTCTTGTAGCATAAAATCTTAAAGCTGTCAACAACTGTAGTCTGACAGTTAATGACAATCCTTTCTATTCTGATGTTTAATTTTGTAGCCAATACAATTTAAAACATGAACAAATTCAGATTTAGAAGTTTATACCAAATTCAGAATTCATCTTCAGAATAGATTTTTAAGGAATTATTCTGATATTGTATTACTCTCTCCCTTTGAAATTGTTGAGATGAATAATTTTAAATATTTTATTTTTATTTCTATAAAAATGTTATCATAATTACTAAAATTGTCTTCTGTTTGTTTAACAATAACGACACCAAAATGCATTAATGTTTTATAACAGACATAATACATGAATTGTAAATTAAAGCATCTGGTTTAATTGTAGTCTTAAGTCTTCACTCATTTGAATATTGCAACTGAAACATTTAAAACAAATTTATTTAAAGTATTTAATTATATTATTTTCAATCCAAGCAATTAATGAATAATTCTGTTGATTCATCNTCTTCAGTCTTCACTCATTTGAATATTGCAACTGAAACATTTAAAACAAATTTATTTAAAGTATTTAATTATATTATTTTCAATCCAAGCAATTAATGAATAATTCTGTTGATTCATCTTGTTTACAATGTTTTTCAAAGGAATGATATTTGTTTTTATCTAAACTTTGCGACAAACAAAACAATGTGATAGCTTTCACTTGAATTAAAATGCCATCTAAACCTGTGGCAAGACTCTGTAATGAAATATTTATGAATCGCTGTCTAGATGATATGATCTCTAAACTGTCGTCAGTATCTACTGTAAATGTTCTCTCTGCAATTGGCCCTTTGTGACCAACTGTATATTCATTTTATAATTGCTTTGATATCTGTTGGTATACAAATGCAAGTACACTGTTTTAATAAAAATGTTACCAAATAATTTTTTAAATTGTCTAAAATATTATAATAGAAACTCTACAAATTGAAGGTAAATATTCTTTTGATATTATTTATGATAAACTTTTTGATATATTTAGAAGTAAAATTGTTTTTGGAATGACAGAGAAGTATGTTTATATTTTCATTTTTAAAGTTTAGCAATGTTTTAATAATCTATATATATATATATATATATAAACAAATTCTTGTTGGTTTGTCCTTTATACAAATCTTTATTCTTAAACTGAATTGGATCAGTAAGTTTGTGTATTATTTAGACACTAGAATTGGCACTAAGCTGTACTAAAGCAAAATATTAATTTAATATTTTAATATCAATTCATTTCTGTCTACATCCAACTTGTTGCCTTTACATGTAGGACTATCTGTTGGCAAAAAAATTTTTAAAAATAAAACTGAATTAAATTTATACAAAAAGAAAATACAGTAATTTAAAAAAACAAGTATTATGTTCACTTAATTACCATGACAATGATACAGTACAAAATAGATGCACTATATCATTATTGCAACAGGTAGCACACAGCACTCATGTGCATGGAGTCAAAAGTATTACACTGTGAAAACTATATAAATATTAATTTACGACATCTAATACCTTGGGTATTTTCATTTCTGAATGGTACTTTGTTAATTCTAATAATTTTTCTATAAAGTTTGCTATTTATGAAGATATACTTTCCAATTAGTTTCTAGGCATACTGATAATGCTCTTAAAATGGGTCATGTGCTGGGCCATCCAACACAGATCACTTTTCAAATATTAATGAATTCCAAAGACATTCAAAAAATGTCTCACATTTCCAGGTAATACTGTGAAAAGTATTTTTTTTTTCTGTTTTGCTATTAAAGTCAAATTGTTACATTTAAGGACTCAGATATTTTTCTTTTTGAACAGGATTTTCATAAAATTAATAATTTCATATGTTTAAATTTTTCTTTTATAAACCCAGGCAATGCTGGGTACATAAGCTAGTATACTATAATAATGACTCTCAACAATAATAATCTTTCTAAGTTTTATGTAATATTTTTATATAACAGTAGTCTTATAATAAAATACATGAAACAAATAAATTCATGATCAACAATTTAAAAAAAATAAAATTCAAAACAAATTTCATAGTATATTTTTTCAAATATTTTATTTTTTATATATTAGTACAATCTTAATCTTTTTGAAAATCTTTTTAGGTGTTCTGGTTATTTATTTACTAAAGTTGGAAAAGTAGCAGCAGCAGCTGTAGCTGGAAGTATTATATTTTTGCAGGTAATTCTTTTTACATACCTACAATATATTGATGCTATGATAAAAATTTATAAACAAACAGAAACATGTTGTATTTAATATTTAAGCTTTTTTTTAAACTTCTGACCATAAAATTACAAATGCAAACCTTGCCAAACATTTATTTTCTTTTTATCAACCTGTTATGAATTTATTAGTTTTATAGTTGAAGTTTAAAAAGATTAAATATTTAAAATTTATTAAAGTCAAATGATTACCAGATTAACCTGGGCTACATTACCACTACTAATAATTATTAAATACTGAGTAATTTGGCACTAGAAGTAGGTGTTAGATGTCATCTCTTATTAAATTTAATAATTATAATTAAATTAATATTTACTAAATAATTTAGAAATTCCAAAGAAAAAAATTGTCCCACAGCAGAACTTGAACCTACAACTGCCACTTACATTGTCAGTTACACTACATGGATCTCTGTCCAATACTAAACTGACAATGGCAGTTGTGGGTTCAAGTTCTGTTGTGGGCCAATTTTTTCTTTGGAATTTTCTAAATTATTTAGTAAATATTAATTTAATTATAATTATTAAATTTAATAAGATATGACATCTAACACCTACCTCTAGTGCCAAATTACTCAGTATTTAATAATTATTAGTAGTGGTAATGTAGCCCAGGTTAATCTGGTAATTGCTTGGCTTTAATATAATTATCAGGATTTGAGATGTTTATATAAAAATTTATTTTTTTCACAAGCATGATAAAGTGCAGTCAATCAGACACTCGGCAGCTTTTCATCCTTTATTTATTCTTTTTTAGTTGATACATGTTTCGGGCTCACAATGCCCCTCCTCAGTCAACTATTTTTAAAATGTACATGGTTACTATATAGCATTAAATTGTTAAGATAACACATATAATTACAAAGAACATGCCTTCTGTTCTGTATTTCACATTAGCCAATTTTGGGTGATGTTTAAGCATAGTTTCTTAAACGGGTGTATGCATGATTACAGATTTTTCCCTTTTTTTTCATTTTGCCATTTAATAAATTATACTAAGTTACGACATAGTATTAAGCATATAAATTAACATTTCAAATGGCATACCTGTTATGTTCTTTTTAAGACAATTAAGAGTTTGTAAATTATTAAAACACATTTTGTTAAAACTTCAACAATACACGTTTACTTAAAACCAGTGTTTCCCAATCTTTTTTGTGCTATGCACTACCTAAGCCTTTCTAAAATTCTTATGCCCCCCGAACATATACAGCAGCTATACAGTTAACTTAAACTCTGGACGAGTCCATTTTCGAATTGCCCCCCTGTGGTGTGTGGGCCCCACGTTAGGAAACATTGCTTTAAACATTTCAGAAGGTTTTTTGTAAAAAGGAAGTTTTCTGATCATGTATGCACTCTTAAAGCACTACATTTCTCTCATCGCTTAGCCTCGCACTGATTTTCTATTTTACTTTTAATTTTTATTTAGAGGATTAAACTTTTCTAAATTTTTTATTATCAAAAAATGTATAAGTTATTAAAAAATAATATTTTTTTAATAATATTTTGTAGCATCTTTCTTTCCCAATTTTCACAGGTTGTTTTTAGTAATGTAGAGCTAATTTAAATATATTTATAATGAAAATACAATAATCTTTTTTTATGTTAGTTTTTGTTATAAATTGAAAATATTAAAAATTGTAATAACACTGATAGCTTATACTTACTTAATTTTATGTTCAGTTTTTTTACAATATTTGTAACCAGTTCTCATTTATTTTGAGGCTAAGATTTTTGTTTATACTGTTTTTATTATTCAGAATCTCTATGCTTTCTTTAAATTTTCTACTGTATGAATCTCTTTCTTTTTGTAAGATTTTTATATTATCTTTGTCTATGTTACAATTATATAGTGTGTAATGTGACATAGAACACTGAATTGTTCCTGCAGTGCTTTAGACTTAAGGAACATATAGATATACTTTTTGTACAGATTGTCTCTTTTTAATTCTAGAATATAATTTTTCATATGTTGGTGCTAACTTTACATCAATTTTTTCTATCTCTTTGCAAATCTCCTCATATAAACCTTTTATATGTGGAAAGGCCCTATATTTTACCCGTAATTTTTTTTTTGAGGTTATTCTTCTTTGTACGTATTTTTCCTTCCCAACGTTTTAGTAATCTATTCAGGTAACCAAAACCAACTAGTAAAAATTTATTAATACGTTCACTAGTTCTGTTTTTTATTTTGTTGTATTCCATTTGAAATATGTTTTCTTTTATGTATAAAGGTATATTAGAGTTATACTTGATAGTTGTTTGTACTGAGCACAATTTTTTAAAGGGTATAAACTCTAATTTATTGCTTTTACATTTTATTATGATATCTAAATAACTTATTTCATTTTTATTTTTGTTGTCCTCTTCTATTTTAAATTTTACATTGTCATTTATGTTATTTTTTCAATTGTGATTTTGATTTCTTTATATATTATAATGATGTCATCCACATACCTTCTGTAAAATTTTATTCCATTTATCACACTGATTACTTTATATATATCTTCCATTACTAGTTCTTCCAGTTTTGGTCCAGTCATTGATCCCATACTGATACTGTCCATCTGTGTATAGTATTTATCCTCTATTGCAAAATAGTTACTTTTATAAGAAAAATTAATTAGTTCTATTATCTCTGCCATTGCATTAATGTTATTTAGTTTTTCTATAATATCCCATATTATCGATGGGTACATATCAATAATGTCAAGACTGGCTATTTTAAACATTTCTTCTATATTTATTTTTTTAAGTTCATTTATAAGTTTATTAGTATTTTTTATAGCAAAACTGGAATTGTTATATTTTTGGAGTTCTTGTTTTAAAAATTTTTTGAGATTTTATAATTTTGGAATATTCAAAATCTACAATAGGTTGCACTTTTTTTCCTACTTTGTTTTTAACTGCACATTTAATTTTGGTACTCTTTTATTATCTTCATTTAAGATGAAACATGCTTCTTTTTTTAGCTTATTTAATTTTTGTAGTTTAGTAATTCTATTTTTTAATTCTGTATATATTATTTGAGTAAGGTCAATTGGTAGTTCTTGAAACTTTGTATTTTCTACTATATCTAACTTTTTCCTTTGTACCCATTCTTGAGTAATTATAATTATTTGCTTCAATTTATTGACTTTTATGATTTCTAATTTATTGTTGCTTAAGAACGTATGCAATGTGTTAATTTGATCTCTATATTGAAAATAATTCTTATCTCTAACGTTCGTTTTTTTTCCTTCCTTGTAATATATTTTTTGATTTTATTACTAATATTCATTTTTTCTATATTTGAGTCTATTTTGGTTAGGCTATTACATATACAATCCAAGTTCAGTATTATATCTAGTACTTTCCATTGATTTGGGCCAGTGAAATCTAGTCCTTTATATAACATTTTGCAGATTTGTTCTGGAATCTTCACTTGTGTTTTATTTAGTATAAGGGTATTTTTCCAATCATTTATTCTTTCAAAGTCAGGTATTCGAATTTTTTTATTAGTCACTCTTGTTTATTATATGCATAATTTTTAAAATTCTCTTTTTGCTTTTCATTAATGTCTAAATTTTGATTTCTTTGTATTTAAGTTTTTTTAATTTTCTTTTTAATCTAATTTTAATATATTCATATTTTATTGCAGATCTTAATATTTTAAAGTTTATATAGTTCCTATCTCTATTTGGTATAACTTCTGAAATAGATTTTGGTAAAGATAATGTACGCAAAGGTTTTTTCTCTTTTAGATGTTTCTTAAAATAGTCTGTCTATTAAGTTTTTGTTTATCTCACCTCCTATCTTGCTTATAGGTTCATTGTTTTTTCATTGACTGATTGATGCATCTGAGTGACTGCACTTTATCATGCTTGTGAAACAAAGACATAGAATAACACGGTTTCAAATTATTAAAGTATAAAAATTTATTATATTTTATCAAAGAAAATTATTGGAAAAAAATATATAGGAAAAAAAAAAACTGTTAGTAATAATAAAGGTGCTTATTTTTCATTAAAATTTTCTTCAGATTGCACAATATAGAGGTTATATCAAAGTTAATTGGACCACAGTAAATAAAGATCTGAACAAAGCAAAACAGAATTTGGAAAAAGAAGCAAAGAACAGGCTTCCTCAACTTGTTAATGAAGTAATGTATTTTGTTTATTTTTTTATATATTGAAATATATCATATTAAATATAGTAAGACATTAAAGAAAGCAATAATATCACAAATATAAACTATTTTGTATGAAATAATTAATTTGAAAATTGCAGCCCAATAAAGACCAGATATAGAAAGCTTAGTCTAAATTAAAGTATGATTAAAAAATTGCAGCTTGGAATTGTGACAATGTCATGATATATTTTTATTGATAGACAGACTGTTTGTTATTTTTAATTATAAATTTGTTCAAGATAAATGTTTCAATTATTCAAATATACAGATCAATTTTGTTTTACCAACTGGGGCATTTCTGTCAACACACACAAAAACACCATTTGCATTTGGTCAGCTTTAACTTTTACTCAAAACTGTATTTATATACATATTTAACAAGTTATAATAGCTCTATACTACTATTACTTTTAGCAGATAGGGGATGAAACCAGGGCTACTCAAAGGTATTGCCTGGGGTGAAAATGGAGAAGATGATGATTTAGAGGAAAAGGCTGAAGGTGAAATTATAAAGAAGGATAGGAAAGGGGATGAAACGGAAGTCTAAAGGGCACCTGTATCGCTTTTATTTAAAACAAAATTAAAAATTTACATTCAGTTGTGGAACCAGTAGTAAAGAATTACAGTACATACGGACCAAATTAAACCGACCATCGCTCGAAAAGAATTTGACCTAAAGGCTGACCTAACCGTCAATGCAACTAACGGATTGCCGGAACCTGGCCTCTTTATGGCAGAGCCGCAACAAGGTATTTCTTTCGACCCCCTGGGACGATTTTATTTTGGCCTCCATACCCTCTCCACAACTGGAAGAGGCAGAACAGGAAGAGGAAGATGACATGGAAGAGCATGAATCAGAAAGCGACTTGGAGCCGGAAGGGGAGCCCGAAACTACGTCGCCCTATGCTCTTTGCAGTCGGGGCCCAGTTGAAGATGAACCTTGGGTTATGCCTCAACCCACACATAGTCGTATACCACGGTTCGTTTCTCCTGCTGATAGTCGGTCATCTTCCCCTTAATCCCTTTAGTTTATCTAAAGGAAAAACAATACGACTTCAGTGTTGCGATATAAGCTATATCTCATATAAGAGACTCAAATATTAAGACTAATCAATATCTTTCCTTTTACCCTTCCTCTCCTTATTGGTCCTTTTATCCCTTTCAGAAACTCATGGCTAACCCTGAACAAGACAATTCATTGCCAGCAGTACTCAACTGCCCCCATCTGTTATGACCTGGTACAGCCACCTGTATACCAGTGTATCAATGGGCATCTTGTATGTTCGCAATGCAGACCCCGTATATCCTCATGTCACAAGTGCCGAGAGACACTAGGCTACATCCGCAATCTTGCTGTGGAACAAATAATATCCTCCCTACAACGTCCGTGTGCTAATAAAACGTTTGGATGCCCGGTCTTGCTGAAAGAGGCCAACTAGGAGACCCATGAAAACACGTGTTCATACCGACCGGTGGCTTGTCCTTTCTCTGACAATGATTGCGTATGGAGAGGAGCCTTAGCCAATTTGATAGCACACATACAGACCAATCATCCTCAGGTACGTACCTATTTTACAACAAACCCGCCTAATCTTCTTAGGGGTCCCAGCAAATGAACACCACTCTAACAATTGGGCTACTATCCTAACTTGGTATAGCCATTATCTTCTACTAATGGTCACAAAACGACAAACCGAGCCACCTTCTTTTGTTATCAATGTTTTCCTACTCACCGAACGACAAAGCTCTTCTAATCTCAATTACTCTATTACTTTTAAGAGGGGCAGCAACACACTCTTCTGGAGGTCTTCCCATATTCCCATCTGGGGAGCCACCACCATCTCCACCTCTCCTCCCTCTCCTCCTCTTGAAGTATCCACCAACCTAATATACGCATTTTGTGGCCACTGTAACTTTAAGTTTATTTTTGAAATTCTGTCTGAATAAACTCTCCTTCCCTGAGCCTTACAGAGATGACGGATTACGAAGAATGGTGGAACCCCGACCTCACGGCGCCACGAAGAAAAATAGTCAACGCCGCCTTGATACGAGCCGTGCTTAATTTTGCACGGATGCAACGGCAAAGAGGGGCCACTCCTGTCACCCTTATTCTTCCTATAGGACGTGTGTGTCCCCGTGAGCTCAAGAAAGCTGTAAGGGAAGAGAATCAGCGTGGAAAAGAACATTATGACAGACAATCCGCCATCTCTCTGCAGGCATCCCAAGTCCCTATATTCCAATCCCTACCTAGAGGGACAACACCGGCAAGTGAAGCCAATCAACGCTCCTGGTTCAGAGATGATACTTGATCATAATGAGGAGGAGTGATATGGTACTGTTATCAATATATTACTATGTGCGAGGAAAATATTTTATAATAAAGGTATAAAACAGAAAAATTCATATGTATCCCTGATGTCCAGATAATCAACCAATATGTAAACATCCTTGTTATCTAACAATATGTGTATCGTCCTCATAACCTAGTTTAATAAATATAGATTTATCCTAATATATTTAGCCTTATCATTATTGGCTCGCGACACAGTTAGCGCGTTAAATACTCCTTCCCTAATAACTCCCCAAATCATTTTGTATTTAGTCATTTCACCACAAGTTCTAAGAACTTAATGACACTAGTTCACTATTTCAGGGGAAGAATTCTACTTTGATCATATCGACCTACACGAAAAATATCACCGCCGGGTCAACGACATGAGTTATCTTCGAATTTATAGTATTCTCCTAAGCCTGCTCACGATGACAACCCTTCCTTTGAAAATGGAAGATTTCTCAAAAGGAGTCGTGTTCTTGCATCGAGGAAATTTCCTAATAACCACCAGCCACTGGACCCTGGTGAATGATCTGACCTTTGAGCACCTAGAGTGACAAATTCAATTCATTTCAAGTTCTCTTGTTTATTTAGAGACAATGATCCAACAGCAAGAACATATCCCACCGCAGGACAAAGACCCACAGACACAATGGAATCTTCCAGAAAAAAGCTTTGAGATAGTAAAAACCTTGTTTCTTAATTACCATAAAGAATATCAAGAGCTCACCACCCTAATTACCATACAGCTCTCACAGACAAAAAAGCAAGGCTTGATAGATTCTGGCGGAAAAATCCTAAAATTTCTCTTTGGCACTGCGACATCTGAAGATATTAAAACATTAAATGACAAAATTTCAAAAATTAACCAGCGTAACGAAGGAATCATTCATTTATTGCACTCCCAAACCACCCTCTTAAATGATACTCTAAACATCAGTAAAAATAATCGACATCAAATTTATGTACTGTTTAAAATACAGGAAGCCTTCGGAGAACTAATGAATCTGTACCAATATGACCTTGCCTTTGAAGCTATTCTTTGAAAAATTGACTTTTCTATCCAAGAGTTGCATTTCCAACTAGTAGAGTTAAGAGAGGCCATTGATATTTTGGAACATAACCAGTTAAGAACCTATTTTATCCCGCGCGACATTATGCTACGTACCCTCCAGAACATCCAACTTCATTTGCCAGAGGGGTACGCAATGATCGAACCTATCAAACAAGATACGTTATTCAAATATTACCAATGGATTACTACCATTGCTGTTGCTTTACCTCACAAGTTGAGAATTTTTGCTAAGATACCCTTAATAACTCCTCATGGATATTTTGATGTATACGAGATTCTAAAATTTCCGACCTACATCTCTGTCTTAACGGCCTTTGTCCAATTTCAACCTGAATACCCAGTCATTGCCCTATCTATGGATAGGCAATCCTATATGTTACTACAACAGTACGATCTAACTGTGTGCAAGATAGACCATTTCCCTGTTTGTTCATTAGATGTTCCTATTCAACGATTCCCTCAACAAAGTTGTGAATATGCCTTATTTACGGGAATGGAAACCAAGATCAAAGACCTCTGCACTTGCCAAATAGTTATCAAATATATGCCAATATTTAAAAAGATTGACCTACGGGGATCATGGATTTATTCCATACCAAATTCTCTAACCCTAACGATTAGATGTCCCACAAGACATTCAAACCCTTCTTCTGTATCCACTACCTACAAATTAAATCATACCGGGATAATTAATCTCCCGAATGCGTGTACAGGTTATTTACCTGGATTTATCCTTACCACACCGTTTCAAGGAAGATCAACAATGCAACATGAGATTGCATAACACTTGATAGTTCTGCAAATAGACCATCTTTTAAATCAAACTGAAATGCAGATACTTGGGAAACACCTGCGAGAGCGAGGAATCCACCAATTAACCTCCAATGAGGATATTAAATTAGCCTATCGCTCTTTAGCAGACATCCAGTATGACCTAGACGAGTTAATACAACTATCGACGGCACCATCGTCCGGAACTTCTCCCTCTTCATGGATAATTGTAATTAGTAGTTGTCTTGGTACAGTGTTAATTGGAATCTGCCTCATTGGTACTGTTCGATACTACATACAGTGCAGAAAAACTAGATCAACAGACCACCAAAACACGCTGGAAAATAACCCGGAAGAGACCACTATAAACGAAAGGGAAAAGCCAACCGATACATATCCAGGCCCTTCCCAAGAGGTGACACCCCGAGGCAATTCCCTTCAACGACCCCAATCCTCTGTTGTTCTAACCTATTAATAGTCTCCCGACTAACCGTCCTAACTACCCTATTTTAATCCTCTTATATTGGTTATTGCATATATTTTTGTTCTAAGAACTTTCTCGTAAGTTTCGAGTATTCCTATCTTTACAATGGAATATAATCGATATTAGATTCACTTTAATTTTAGCTTTATTCATTAAGCTATTTTTGTATCTTATTAAGTAAAATTAGTCCATGATATTAAGATTTAAAATTAATGAGAGAGAGAGAGTAAACCTCTGCATTATGTAAATCTACTTACCTCGACAAACCAAGGGTATTCCTCGTTCCATAAAGTATAACTAAAACTATT